GGGGGGGGGGGGGGGGTGAAATGTTGGTAGATATCGATGACTAGAAACTAACTATATAAATACTGTGGCTACAAGTGCAGGCCAGAGGCTAGAAATCCTGTAGAGTGACTAATCTTCTGACTGCCCAAAGCCTGTTCACCATCTATATAGCATGTGTCAGGAATGTGATGGAATATCTCCACTTGATTATTGGGGGTGCACTCATCCAACGCTCAAGATACCTGGCACCATCCAGGAGAAAAGCTTATTGGCACCACATCCACATACATTCCCACTCATCCAAATCAGTACTTCTCCGCAGCAGTGTGTACCATCTACAAAATGCAATGTAAAAATTGCCCAAGGTGACTTAGACAGCATCTGCAAACCCACGACCACGTCACCTCGAAGGACAACTGTAGATACATGGGAAAACCATCAGCTTCAGGTTCCACTCCAAGTTAGTCACCAGCCTGAGTTACTGCTCCTTCAGTGCCACTGGGTCAATATCCTGGAAGTCCTCAACAGCTTCATGGATCTACCTATACCAAATGGACTGCAGTAGTTCAAGGCAGCATGTGGTTAACCAGCTTCTCAAGCACAACATAGCGATAAAATGTTGACCCAACCAGCAATGCCCCCGTCCCACAAATGACTAAAAAAAAGTTCTGGGGAAAATAGCATCTGCACAGCCAGATGGGGTCAGGTTTGGGTTGGAATAGGAGTAGAATAGAGTAGAAAAACGTCCTTGCAGGGTGGATTGTAGTGCTATTGGAAGAACTTAACCTAACTTTGTGGACAGATGGAAGGTGTGAAGAAGGCTGGAGAATGCAAACTAGGAGGTAAAATTAAAGGCAAAAATGAATTAGAGACAAATTCTACCAGTGTCAAATATTAAAAGGCATTAGATGTGGTAAGAGTGAAAAGGAATGAAGCCCAGCCTATATTTAGTATACTGTGCATGTAGGTGAATGCATTAAGTGTAATAAATCAGTTGCAAGCAGTCAAATAAATGCATATTGTGACAGTTACAGATACCTGGTTCAAACAAAAAAAGAAAAATCAGAGGACTGGTTGCTAAATATTTCTGAAAACAAGTCTAGAAAAGATAACTAAGTTTTAAAACAAAAAAAAAGAGCAAAAGGGAGGGAAGAAAGATGAAGGATAAGATTTCAGGCTACCAATTAGCAAGGAAGAACATAAAATTATGCAGTTAAAAACATATGCAGTTAAAATGAGGGCTTCTGTCATCACAATTAGAGTGGAATAGTAACAGTTT